CATAAATTTGGGTAAGTTGGTATTACACAAATATTTATAAATATTTTAATCAAAAGTAAAGTAGTGCGCCAGTGAGATGTTCTTTTTAAAATTTTATTGTATGAAAACTTTTCAATTGACACGTTGTGCCCTTTCTAGAAAAGCAATAGGACACAACGTATGCTATGTTAGCAAAATTTTATAAAACAGTCACGCTTTTCAGGCGAATTTTACAACGAAATAAGATAATAAAATTTGATAAAACGGTACATTATAGTAACATGATACCTATTTAAAATGCATACATTTAACAAAGAATAGAATACAGTAGATTTCATATAATGAACTTTTAATAACATGTAAAAACCGACTTTAAAACTAAAAACTGAAATAAGGCACAGTGCATAGGAAATGAAAGCGACGACATCAGAAGCTATTAAAAGGAAATTATTTGTTCTTAGTTTTGAAGTCGGTTTGTACTTTCTTTTATAGAACAACCCTGACTTTGCACTTGTTTATTTGTATTTTAATAAAGTGAGAACGAGTAACCTTTACACGCAGTTAAAATAAAACGAATGTTTTTTCGCTTGACCTTTTTGAACTTTTTTGACTTGTAACAGTATTTGCGCCCTTATTAGTAAACATAATATATCTTTATTTTCTTTGATTACGTGAATTTTTCTGCCTAAACATCAGAGTAGATACCATGTTACTTCATACCTACATATATTTTATATACTAAGTAGCTTGCTGTTGTGTACCGATTTGAAGAGTAAGATATCTCATGCTATGATACGCAATATGCCATTCCATTTTAGATCTCAGAGATGACAGTTTTGATAGGATAACGGCTTTTGTGCTTAGATTCATAAAGTAAAAGTGTTGTTATTTACCATTAGGTTAACTGTGACTTTGTTTTTAACCATACGTTATTTTTACAATACGTTATTATTATTTTTTTATATTTGCTATTGATTATTTATCATCATTATCATCATGATTAAGTATCTTATCGAAATATTAGAATTAAGACACGTCGTTTCTACAGATTTCGGGGGAAAGCAATTTGTTTCATTTATTTATAGAATAAGGGTGACAAACGAGCGCACGGTTCACCTAATGATAAATGAATGCTGTGGCCCATAGACATCTACATTTATCCTCAATTAAGAATTAAACTGCAGACGCGTTGTCACCCCTGAGAACTAAGATGGAATGCCACATTTCCAGTAAAACGGGTCTTCGGTTCTCTATATGCACCACACGAAACACAGCAATATTGAGCTGCTAATATAGTCCAATAGAGTTCTTCCTCGGTCGAGCCGACCCATTCGTGCTAAAACCATAATATAGCTAAAGCATGGCTCTACCACGTCTAAGCATATTGGAGTTTGAATTCAGTATCCTTTGTATATCCTCTAGACTTGTTTGATTTGGTATGGAGATAGTTTATATAATTTTATTTGACCAAGAAAGTGCAATAAAGATTTTATCAATCATAAGAGGAATAATGTTAAGTTCTTAAAAATAAATGATATTGTGTAATTTTAAAAATTATTTCACAGAGCCGAGAATTGAACCGATCCAAACGTAAATGTGTGCGACGAGATTCAATTATTGGCTGCAAATTTAAGTACCAATTTACCACGTGCTCGCCAGTGACGTCTGCATGTCTGAGAAACAAAATATTTTGAGAACATGTGAAGTTCGCCAACACGAACTAGAGAAGCTCGACGGGCTAACAACTCCATTACTCTTCCAGAATCGCAAATTCGCCCCTCCTCTAGCTTGGCCCATATCCAGAAGAGGGCTTTTTATGGGCTGAAAAAAATAGTATAGTATATATAATTTTATAATTATATATACAATACTATTATAAACTACTACTATTACAAAACTTAGTATACTATTATAAAAATTAATATATATAGATTATTTAGTTAAATATATATTACTGCATAGTTTTCATATCAATTTTTTTTAGCTGAGGTTGTAGTCATGGCTACATCATAAACCTTAAAAGTGACGAAATGCACAAGTGTAACGTTCTATGATCCTCGGCTTTCAAATAATATATTTTCAATTTAGGATTTAGATTGTACCCATGAGGAACAGATTAATCCATACACTACTCATGTTCGCGATATTTTATAGCCAGGTCACAGTAGTATGGGCCGTGACCGATGTTCTTTATTCGCCCGGGTACATAACACATGTTTATAGCTCTTTTGAAAACTATTTGATTATTTTAAATACTTATTCCTTTTGAAATTAATTACATTAATTTTTTTGACGTAAGAGAAATTTCGTTTGTGAAATGTCTTTTTTTCAAATAACGTTTAGAAATGAGATTCATCTGACCTAAATGAAATAGGACTTTAAGAACGAGTTAATTGCTGTAAGAATTTTCCCTTGTTTATCGCTTTCTACCAAGTTTTAATTTTAAGATGTTACATCACTTAAAGGAGTATTATTTCTGTATTTTATAAAAATAATTCGAAAATCACTAATTATAACATAAGTTGGTTGTACAACAAGATTTTTACAAGTAAAAAATACACGATATATTTTCATCTAACTCAAAACATATTATGCGTGTAAGATAATATTATTTTAGGATAACATTTTGTTTAGATAATAAAAGTATGAAATAAAGTGTAATTAACCCTTGAAAATAGACCTTGCTTAAATGCTAGGGCTTGTTAAAAGTTGAAATTGGACTGCGAGATAAAATTTTAACTTTTATTATAAACCTGTAAGCAATGTTATCTAGAGGACTTTTGTTTGCATGACTTTTTCCAGGATTCGCTTTTTATAGAATAAAAGTGACAAACGAGCACACAGTCAACCTGATGGTGAATGGGATGCTGAGGTACATAGACATATTATATATATCCTTCATTAAGAATCAAAATGCACTGAGGACTAAGATGGAATTCCACTATTTCCAGTAAAAACGGTCTCCAGTTTTCTACACTGACCATACGGAACACAGCAGCAATAAACTGTTAATAATTTACGCTGCTATTCTGTGAGAGCATGGTCCTACGCCGGTCGAGCCGACTCAATTGTGCTACAACCATAATATAAAGATTTTGGGATCATCATTGAACGATAAAGAAACAAATCTCATCGCGTGACTTGATACCTGAGTAAAAATTACGGTTTTTTTTTCGTAAAAGTAATAAAACCGCGCTGCAATCACAAATGGGTCGGCTGGACTTACTTGGAAACTAAGAACCTGAGAGCCTTTAATTGTATGAGGGGCGATTTATCTTAGCCTTTAGAGATCAGAGGTGACTTAGTCACATAGACTGTGTGTCATATAAAATACCCATAGTGTAGTTAAGAAACAAATATTAATATAATAATAAATAACGATACAATAGGAATAAATACGGTTACTATTCAAAGTTCTCTTTTTTTCTTTTACTCTAAATTTAAATTCGGATTGCGTTTCCTTATATGAAACTTCGCTCGATTTTGGCGCCATTTTACATATCGTTTTTTACCATGATTGATAGATTACATTATAAACTGAGGCGGCAAAGAAAACAGAATTGCAGTGATTGCTTTCCACAAAGTGGGTATGAAAACGTCAGACGCTTCATAAGCGCATTACCGACACGAATGCTGTCAAAGCCAGACGAATTCCCACGAGGAAAAATATTATCGCGTGAAATGAAAGTTCCGTTGGGAACCTGTCGTGAATTATTTAACAGGAAATGCCCTAAATCAGTCCGTGCATTTTAAGAGAGTGGATTAATCAAAACGCTTGTAATCCCGATACGGTGGAAGACACCGAATTGTGCTGATGAAAAAATAACATGTTACGGTTTGAGCACTACAAGCAAAATAACAAAGTGCATGCTTACTGCTATGTAGAAACCTAATAACATTTTGGAAAAGTTTAATGTAGACATCATGGTAAATAATTCATTGCTTCGTAGAGGGGTGGGGGGGTTGGGGGGGCATGTCCTATCGAGGAGTCACGCAGCTTTATTTTTGTAAGACCTTTTTTATAGAATAAGGGTGACAAGCGAGCATACAGTCCACCTGAAGGTAAGTGGATACTGTGGCACCATAGACATCTACTTCTATCCTCGATTAAGAATCAAAATGAAAATGCGTTGTCACCCCTAAGGACCAAGATGGAATGCCTCTTTTCCAGTGAAACGGGTCTCCGTTTCTCCACACTCACCATACGAAACACAACAGCAATGAGCTGCTATTTTACACTGGTATTCTGTGAGAGCGTGGTCCTTCCTCGGTCGAGCCGACCCATCCGTACTACAACCGTAATATGCAGCGTGGCTCTACCACGTATAAAGTTTTCGACTCGACATTGTTTACCAATTACATTCTTACTTGTATTAGACAAGTGTCGTAACAAGTCCCGCTCCGGTCGTCAGATTTAGGGAAAGAAATCACCTCCCCGTCTTAGTTTTATAAATGTTACCATGATCTTTATTGCAATTTATGTATGTTAGCTGCTTCAAAATCCTAGTGGGGGGAAGGTTATTAAGTAAAGAAAAAAAGAGAAAAAATATCACATCTGACATTTACTAGACGGTTTATCGCCAACTATTAGAGACCATGAGTTCTATCTCACATATGTAGATAGTCCATAGTCGCTTCGTGCGATACTCCTAAGGCAAAATGGGGTGATCGATTCCCCAAGGTCGCCACTGTCAGCAATCACGAAAACGTAAATAGAACATTTTTACGTTTTCAAAGTATAACGGCTAGAACGAAGCGTTTTGTTCTAAAGTTCATACCGAGCAGACTTCACGACATTTAAGATTTTCTTACATGGCGTTTATGCTACTTAGGTTTTCATCTAGTGGTGTTTGATTCAACTAGAAAGTGTGACCAATGTTCTTGGCACACTGGCGCGATTTATAGTCTTACAAATGAGTTTAGATTAGTGCATTTTTAATTGGTTTTAATTAATACCATGAATACATTTATAGGAAATAAATGAACAATACATATTTTAACACGTTTAATTTTTTTTTCAGATAGAAGCTGTCTTCATCGGACTTGTTTTTCAAGATAATGAAGATATTAAGTTTTCACAAGAGCGGACACATTCCATTACAAGGTAGTTTAACCTGAAAAATATTTAATCCGTTCAAAGCATAACTTAAGGAGCTACTCCATGCGAACGACCTTGAGCATTTGGTGTGCCGCGCCGACTCGCTACAATATTGAATATATCGCGTAAGACGTATGTAAGACGCCACCTACTGTACGAACGTAGTATTTTTTCAACATCAATAAACTATTTTATGGAAATACACACAGCGTACAACGATAAATGTATTTTAATTTTTTTATTCGGTATATTAGTTGCATTATATTAGAATTATGGATTCTCATATATTATCTAATTATGAAATTTTATAATTAATTATATATTAAAAATGACGCATTGAAAATTGTGAGTTTAAAAGATACCTACTCACTAAAGGTAAATAGATAGATAGCTCGCCTTTAATACAAATATTTTTTTTTTATTGGATAGGGTGACAAATGAGCACACAGTCCACCTGATGGTAAGTGGTTGCTGTGGCCCATACACATCTACATTTATCCTCGTTTGCGAATCAAAATATAGATGCGTTGTCACCCGTGAGGACTAGGATGGAATGCCTCATTTCCAGTAAAAAGGGCCTCCGGCCACCTGCACTCACCAAGCGAAACGCAGAGGTAAACCTCTACTTCACGCTGGTATTCTGTGAGGTCGTGGTACCACCCCGGTTCGAGCCGGCCCATCCGTGCGACAGCAAAAGCTGTCGCCTGGCTCTACCACTGTTAAAAGAATAAATTTGGTGCAATAAAGAATAAATAAATAAATAGGATATTTCGCAGAGTGAGAGTAATATAGAATGAGAGTCGTGGAGGCAGTTTACAAACATAAATTGCACAAGGACAAACATCCAGACCCGGAACAATTATATGTTGGCCTTACAAATACCTGTTCCGTGCGGGATTCGAACCCGCGGCCCCCAGCGCAACAACTGATTGCTAAGCCACTGCGCCACGGAGCCGTCGCCGGGTTATAGGTAAAGTGACCATACGTCCCGTTTTGAACGGGACTGTCCCTTTTCTCGGTCACCTGTCCCATTGTCCCCAAATAAAGCTCCGGAACACAAAATTGTCCTGTAACTCGTTAGATGGAAGTATTCAAAGCCAACAATCTTCAACATAATTTTTTTAATCGATTATATTTTATGTCTACCTGGTACAAATGCTCCAGTAGAAAGAGTAGTTTTCTATTTTGAATAAATTGTGGACGTCTGAAAAAAACACTTACGGTTCCAGTTCTAAAGGCGATGTTGTTAACAAAGGTAACAATAAAAAAAAAACTTGCCCAGAATTTTATTCTTATTTAAAATCATCACTAACTTTATTAAAGCAAATTTAATCCATTGACAAATGTAATTAAAAATTTAAAAAATATGTTGCATTTAATAATTACCGTCTATACCGAATATAATTTTATAGTGAACACTAATTGTATAAAGTTATAGTTTTTAGAGTATAAATAAATCCATGTCCCGTTTTGAGTTAAAAATAAATGGTCAGCTTAGTTAGAGAGTCGAGTAATAACCCGCAATGCCGCAGATAGGCCAACTTAGACTCCCAGGCCGAATTAGTCGTCTATAGGCCGACTTACCCCACCGGGCCTTATTAGACGACCATAGACCAAATTAAACGCCCAATTCAAACCAAACCTTACATGCTAATGGTTCTTAATTTTTATATTTGCATTTACTTCAAAGAAAATATACGCAAAAAGCTTCATCGCGCAGTAATAACACAACAAATATATATATATAACTAATACGAAAAATTATACCAAAAACAAACAAATAATACTACCTATAAATAACCTAATAAGTAATAATATTATAATGTTATCGACTGATAAGATGACGTGAGCGTGTGCGCTGGCCGACGCTCTGACTAACGACACGGGTTTTACGTTCAAGAGCTCAGCGCTCGCTGACTCCAGCAAGCCCGTGGGAAGTAAATACGCTCAAATTTTAAAATAATTTCTTAATAAAATCAAATTTTGGTCTTTTGAAAAAAAAATTTATAATAGAAATGTTCATTAATAAATTGCCTATCCATTGGTGTAAATCGCAAAATAAAATAATACTTATTTTACGAGGAGATGCATGTTATGAATAATTATTTCACATTTATGTGGTTTCGTTGTAAGGAGATTATATTAATATTTTTCCTTTAAAAAAATTGGATATAGCTCTTATGGAATCAAGATTATGTAGAAAAATAACGTGTTTTTTATTTGTTGATATATCTTTTAAATAAAAAGTAGATAGCTCCTAAAAACCGCATAAATAACGACTAGAGCGACATTTTGCTCAACCTGCGCCTTAATTGATTACACCGGAATTATTTAAATATAATCTATTTTTACGAAGAGTTTTAAGTGTGTGCTTTCTTTAACTGTGAAGAAGCTTTAATAAGTTTGTTTGTTTACTAATACAATATTTCTTCTCAAATGTAAATTTTATTGAATTTTGGATTAGTTTAATTTGTTCTCGTGTCTCTGAAAATCATCAAACTTTTTGTTCTTATCACATAAGCGATATATAGGATACGGTTGAGGTTTCTCAAGTGAGTACACTTGTGTGTCATTATATGTCCGGCATAATTGTTAATTTCGACAAAATTCGTCGAAGATGAAATGAAAAAGAAGCTATTTATACATATATGTTAGTAGCTATATATATATATATATATATATATATATATATATATATATATATATATATATATATACAGGGTATTTTTGGAACGCTCCCGAAAACTAAGACAGGCGACAGCACCTAGTATACCTTTGATCATGGGTCACAAATAAATTCGATCCTGATGAAAAAAAAATCATCTTTTAACAACGTTTTATTAGCTTTATTCACGCGCCATCATGTTAGTACGGCTAAATGAAACGATAATTTCATAAAAAATATCATGAAAATACGGAAACATAAAACCAGCAGTGGAAACTGAATTGATATCACCTGACTAATGGAGGTTAATGTACGCGCGAACGGTGAAAAACAAACGCTGGCCTTGAACTTGGGCACTGAGCGATTTATCACATATTGGTACGAAAGGCGCGCGACGGGGGAACAATCCGCCAGTATTAGTGTGCCTGCATGCTATTGGTTCCCGCGCTTTGTTCGCTCCAAAAATACAGTCGCATACACAGCTTACTTTGCGACTCGCGACGATGTTTTAAAAAGGAAGGAAAGAAAAATTATTTATATCTATTGTTTTATGACTAAACTAGTGATCGAAAAGGTAAATATGATAGGAGAAGGTGAATGGGGAAAATTGTGCAGTAAAGTTAAAAGTGTGGAGGAAGAATACCGAAAAAATGACCATGTAATCGACCTGATGACGGAAGCTCAAGCGAAGATGAAAGTGATGATGAAGTAGCATCCAGTAACACCAACACACCATTAACATCTGGCTTCCATGTGACCCAAGACGTCATAATGGACGGCGTGTTACCCTTAGTTAAAGTTTTCTTGTTATAAACTACTTTATATTTTACGATAAAAATAACAAATAATGCTCATGTAAACATTATCCATTTTTAATTCCCACCTCTTCCAAAGTTCTAAGTAGCTAGTAAAACACCTATTATGATTCTACATTAAAACAATTAATTACTATAATATTATAAAACAATAGCCCAATACCATGTAGTACTTTAGAACGCGACTGTACCCACACCCCCTCCGCTATCAACCTGTATCTAGCTCGGTACGAAACAATGCTGCGGTCGTAAGAAAAAAGGGCGCATCTAACAATTTATGAATAAATGAGTTAAATATACCATTCGATTCATAATAAGAAGGCGCATCTACTAAATTTTTTTAATATTCACAAATATCAATATTTTAGAAATTATCGTAAGAATTTTAGACGTAACTGTTGATCACAGATGACTTTTTTTAGTAGAAAAGACTTATACAAATTCAACATAAAAGAAAAGACTTATTTAACCAGTTGCTACGTCATCTTTAACAATATTTGCATCGATTACTTAAATTTCAATTATTCTTGGTCTTGTCTTATTATTCTATATCTTATTATTAAGAGCTTATATCTTATTGTTAAGAGCTGGTGTTTCACATGTGGTCCCATATAAATTTGATCGAGGTCAGACCAATAGTTTTGAGTTATCCTTAATTATTTATATTAAAGTCGGTTGTACAAAATTTTTAATTTTTAATTATTATCGTAGTAAGTCTTGTATGATATCCCCTTTAAAATCATTACTCAAGAGTTGCGGGTTGTTATTTTTTGTGTCTCACTACCAATGCTTTTCTAATATTTATTAAAAAAAAAGTAGTAAATTACTATTAGCGTCCTTTCAACTTCAAATGACCTTTCCAAAATATGTAAAATTGTTAAATGAATGGCAGTTTTTTTTAATTTATTAGGTTGGAAAGACGCAAATAGTTATATGCGTCTTTCCTTCGATGTTTTTGTGTTGCCAGGTGTATTTATTAAGCTAAGATGAAAAGGAAAATTCGTTTTATTTAAATAAATAAACAAATTATCAAAAAATTTGTTCGTTCTTAAAATCTTCATGTCTCTACGTATATATTTCAATTTTCATATAGATACCTTTTAATATACTTTAGACACAGGGTCTGAAAGAAAAATTCATCAATTTATTTTTTATTTCCATTTTACGTTTTTGTTAGTTGCGTCCTTCTTTATGTAACCCGACGACGGCAGAATGTAACCCGGCCGGCTCGTGTCGCCTCACGCTGTGACGCAGTAGACAAAGAGTATAATAACTGTCCTAGCAGTAGGTTTCAGTTTTGTTGGGGTTCGTTATTAATTGTAGTTTTTGAAACAGTTCCGTGTTGATTTTGTACACGCGTGCGCGAGCGACAGCTCAATCGTATTGTTATTACTTGTGATTACGTGTTGGTATTATTCTCGTTGTTACGTTTTTTGTTTTAATAATGCTTAACGCGTACTTTTATAGTGATTGTGAATACAGCAACATGTTATCTGAACCCAGGTACACGAAGTATCGCCAAATAA